CTCTCTCTTTCTCTCTCCCTCCTCTCTCTCTGTCTCCCTCCTGTCTCTGACTCTCTCTGTCTCTGTCTCTGTCTCTGTCTCTGTCTCTGTCTCTCTCCCTCCTCTCTCTCTGTCTCCCTCCTGTCTCTGACTCTCTCTCTCTCTCTCTCTCTCTCTCTCTCTCTCTCTCTCTCTGTAATATATATATGGCAGTGTACCTCAGACAATCTGTGGGGGTTTAATCCCTAGTATCTCTCAAAAAAATTTCCAAATCCTCAAATTGCTAAAATTTAAATTAAGGGTTCTATTGCTTTTTAGGGGCATAAATAATTAACTTATATTTAGGATCTACATATTTCACTTTCTATAAATTTTACTTACAAAAATAGGATTAAGATCTCCATTTTTATATCCCGTAAAATGTTGGCTAGTCTATCTTCCACCCATCCTTCATCAACTCAGCTCACCATTTATCCATTCATTTAGCCAGTGTTCATCGAACATATTCTAGAGAGTTGTGCTGTTCTATCATTGATGCTATGGATCTGTGATGAATGAAAACATGAAAAGTTGCAATGATCATGTAAGTACTGTGATGGGATTAGCAAAAGACATCATTTAATTTTCAGATTTAAGGCATTTTCTCAGAGAAAGCAACCCGAAGTAGAGCATCGATCAAAGGGCAGAGTCGAGAGCTGCTTCCAGAGACAAACTGCTTCTATTTGAAAATCACATTGCATCTCACTAGAAGAAAGACATTCGGAAGGAAACTTATTAATACCTGAATTCTAGGGTCACTAGGAGGATTAAGTATTGTTTTGAGTGTTCCATGAGTGTCCCCGAGTTCCGGGATCTGACAGAACACGCAGAACTCAGCAGTAGACCACATATCCATGCCTAGAATTTATCAAAGCCATGACCCAAGTCAAGGGAGGTCAGATGAAGGCTTCCGATTCCTTCCCTCCCGCGAATCTCACAGACCCCTTTCTTCCTCGGTAAGGACACACGCGGTATCTGCACATGTGGGTGCCCAGTAAGTCTCAATTATTTTTATGAAGGGCGATCACATGAACACATTCTAATTTTTCAAGCAGTCATGGTAACTGACTTGGAGAAATGCCACTTACGCATCCGAAGTAGTTCTCGGCAACACAGATAAACACCAGGTACCATCAATTCCTGGCACACAATGGAACGTTGTTAATCACTAACTTACAAAGAACAGTCAAGGACCACATTCTCTGGCACGGTCTTAGTGTAAATCGTGGTTCCAGCTTATACCGGAAAGGTATAGGTGTAGAGAAGTCATAACCTCTGCCTTTATTCTTCCTTACTTTGGACCTTGAGAACTAATAGAAACAAATGGGAAATAATATTATCCATATCATATTACTGTGAGGATTAAATCTGTATATGCAGAAGCACATAGGAAATATTTTATAACTAAGAACTGTAATAATATCCAATAATTACATCTTTATTATGTGTTATTACTGGGAAACTTCAGGTACCTTATGCTCTGAAGAACACTGTAGTTGTGATTAGAATGTTAAGTGGGTAACAGTGCATGAAATATAAGACCAGAGAAGTTGAAGGGCTCAGTATCATAAATGGCTTTGATGAATAGAGTATAGAACTTTAATTTTACCTTGGGGGTGATGAATTGTCATTTAGAGATTTTAAGGAGATATTTTGGTAGCTGCCATGATGGCCTTCAATAATCACTTCTTGCTAAAATGCACACCTTCTGTAACTTCCTCCTAAGGTCAGGACCTGTGGGATCAATGGAATGTTAAAGGAATGCCACTTCTGTGACTAGCTAATAAGAGACACTAAGATATCTGTTCCTCTTCCCCCTCTCTCAACTTTAGGGATACCCAGTTGCCATGTTGTCCCTTGAATAGAATCATGTGACGAACAGCTGAGGACTGTCAACAAGAGAGAGCTTGAGTGAGCTTGGAAATTAATCTTTCATTTATCCCACGCAGTCTTGAGATGATTACACCCTGGCTGAAAACATGTGTGCAAATTTCTGAGATACCATGAGCCTGAATTACCCAGCAAAGATTCTCATGGATTCCTGACCAACTGAGACTGAGAAAATAAAAGCTTATTTTATACTGCTATGTTTTACCACAATCATTTCATGCTACCAAAAATAATTAACAGAGAAATTACATAAGTAAGTATGTGCTTAAAACCTTTATATTAAAACCACCTTTGGTGCAGAATTTAGCTTTTTGTTTTTTTACATCTTGAACTCAAATTTTAGTGCTTCAAAAATGCAAAGATACGTAGAAGATCCATTTCTTAAGTATTCTGGTATTCATTAGCAAGAAATTCCATGTGATATTTTAAGCTTTTACCTTGGTTTTTTAAACACAAGTATTCATTTAATCTTCCAAATAATTCTTTGCAGTAGGAATTTTTGCTTGCAGTAAATAGATATAAAAATCTGAGCTCAGGAAATTATTTGCCAGGCCCACAGTCACAGTTAATAAAAACATATTCTTCACACTGGTCTCACTATTAGCTTAAGGTTGGACTTTCCTGGGTAAAATGAATCCTTGCATATAAATCAGTAGCACCCTGGCCTATGTTAAATACTATATCAGTCAAATAGACTTTTCAAACCATATTTGAATTTCCATTTTAATTGAATTTTGCAGCTTCCTTAATATTCAAAATTGATGGCTGCAGTGGTTCCATTTTATTTTCCCTCCACTGTTAGCAACTGATAGTGATATGTATTTTGGGTAATATCTGGTTTACATTCACGTTCAATAGTTCTTAAAATATACTTCTGAAACTAGTTTTTTAGGCTCCATTTATGTTTTCTTACTTTTTTGTTTGATACTAGAAATTCAATATTTGCTGGCTCATTGGAATTATCTGGAGCATATTTTCCTTCATCATATTAAAGCACTTCAGCTCTCAAATGTGAAAGTAAATGTAAAAATCTATGTAACATTTAAGTCAGTATTTATTTCAAGTATCTCTTCTTTTATTTATAATAATTTATCTTAGCTCACATACACTGTACTCCATTTTCATGGTGTCTATGGAAATCAAGCCACCCACTAAACAACTGTATGGAATTATGCTGAGATCTCCACCATTTATGGCAAAATCAATGACATCAAATAGAGAATGCACCTCTTTGAAAGAAACTGATTGCAAAAGGTTTTGGTTACAATTGCATAGAAATGTAACGGGGTAATAAACCTTAGTCTTTGCAGCACTCTGAAACTCTCCAAGTATGTAGGAAATAAAAACAAGTAGAACTATTGCAGCAAATAAAAAAAGAAAGCACAGGGAGGTAATGACATCCAAGGTGACCCTGGTTACTAACAAGCTATCTGAGATTTCTCATATGGAACAAAGCATACTAGCTCACTATTCTAATTGTCATTATCTCTCTACTTTTACTTTTGATTGAGAACCATCTATTTTAGTCATTTTTTTAAATACAAAGAACACAGTGGTTGATGGGATATAGCATTTCATACCTTAGATCCAAATTAGAAGTGCCCTCTATTTTCTTTATTAATTTTAATGTGGACTGAATACCTTAGAAAAACTTCAAAGGAAGGTAGTGAACTTTGTCTACTGTTGTGTCTCATCCTCTATTTCAATGTAGGAAATGCAGTACCATTTTTAACAATGGATTTCAGAATCTTCTGATCATGACAAAGAAATTTCTTTCCTCAAGATGACAATAAAATCTCTGGATGTGGAATGCAGAGTAGCTAAAGAGCCAAGTTTAGGTTTACTGCTCAGAGTAGCTAGAAGATTGTGGTATTGTAGTGAACGAGAAGGTACAGAAAGACATTAGTTTCTAAGGTATCAATGGATGTCAGAAATTTTAGATAGCAGGAAATATGCACAACATGAAATGTGTAAAAATCCAGCAATTTTGCTGTTCCTGTTGGTTAGATTGACTTGTTCTTCATCTTACACCTTTCAGATCGAAAGTGCTGTCCTGTGAAGGCAGAGCTAACACCAGTCTCTCAGAGGTAGATGGATGTGAACATAAACTATCATTTTTTTGAATCCATCTGTACTAGTTGACTTTTCTGTTGCTGGACACAATACTTGACACCCACAACTTAAACAAGAAGTTGAATTTGGCTCATGGTTTCAAGGGATTCAGTCCGTGGTCGCTTGGCTCCAAGACAAAAACACTATGCTGGAAGGGTTTGATGGAGCAAAGTTTCTCAATTAATGGCACCCAATAAGCAAGGCAGGTGCACATCACCAGAAAAGTAGGAGAGACTGACCAGACACAGACTTCTAGGACTCACCAAGACATACTCCCACGTGCATTGCATCAGTCCCCTAGGAAAGATCCCAAAGCCAATCAATTTGATACTGTGCTCCAACTGCCACAGAATGGGGCATTTTCACGTCAGTTGTCTCATAATGAGCCAAATAGCCAAATTTGAGATGGGGATCCATCTGTGAGCTTTCAGGAAAATTAAGGCAGCTGTCAAAATTATTTTGCAGATAAAAATTTCAGTGTAAGGAGTTAGTGTATAGTGGTGATCCCATTCATAAGGTGGCACTTATATACTCTTAACACAAATATTTTTAACTTCCTCCAATGCAAAATTAAAACAACAATAATATTCACCTGTTAATGTTGGAAAAGACGGAATTAGATTCTACATGTAAATGTCTTAGAAACATGTGATATGAGGTACATGTCTAATAAATGTTACTTAGCATAATGGCTTCTGAAATGCTTTGCCCCAAGCTCATCTTCAAGACTTACATATCCTCCCTCTCTGCTGAAAATATCAGTTACAGATGACTCATAGTTTCTTCCTTCCAAGAGAACAGTTCTCACTGTAGATAACTGCTTTGCCCAAATTTACTCCCCTTTTCAGGGGAAAACTATTGCCCGGTGATAGGTGAGTATGAATACAAAGGCCCAACTTCCTTGCTTGAATTTTTAAAACTCTGAAAACCCATCTGTCACTGCCAGAGCTTCCCAAAGAAAGTGCTGAGGTTTCTGCTCCAGCTGCATGGAAGGTCACCTCCCCCCACACCCAATGTGGATTCCTTTCCTTCTCTCCTTTTGTGTATCTCTCTTGACTACTCTTCCCAATAATCCCTCATGGAGCAGTTTTTCTGAATCTATTTCTAAGGAACCTAATGTAAGACATTGATAATGAGGGCATTAGTAATTTGGGATGTGTGTGTGTGTGTGTGTGTGTGTGTGTGTGTGTGTAAAAGAGAGAGAGAGAGAGAGAGAGACAGAGAGACAGTGTGACACAGAGAGATTTATATGCTAAATAACCTATACTAATGACTATCTGAGACACAAAATTGTACATTATGGAAATTAAATAAAATCTGCCTGCTAGAAATTGTAGCTGACTACTTATTTGAGACAATTTCTTCACCTGTGAAATGGAGATATTATTGTTCCCTAAAAGAGGAATTATTTTGTTTTGTTTTCAGACTTTAAAAAAGTGTAATTTATAAGATATTCTGCATATAGTAAACAATCACTAAAGCTAATAATCATTATTCAATGTCTCAGCTTTTTACTTAATGAGAACAAATATATTATCTCCTAGAAAATCTGAGAGATCAAATGGTGCAATGAAAGTGAATAAACTGTTTTAAATTACCAGTAAATATCATGCATTTTTCTATCATTGTTGTATCAGAGATGTGACAAAGGACAATCTAATTTTTCAATTTAAGACCTCTTAAAGTAAGGGTACACTTCTGGTTTCGGGTTTATAATAGGATCTGGATATTGTCTATTATACAGTAACGTGACCAATGAACTGAGAATAAATTCAATAAACTCTTTTGTTCATTTTATTTACATTTGTTTGGCTGTAGATGTGGATAAGTCATCTGCAGCTTCCTAGCTTCAATTCCTTGCAGTTTCCGCCAGACCCCCACTGTAGGAAGAATTGCTGATGAGCCCATTGCTTGAGGTCACATTTCTAAAGCTTTTGAAAGTCTTAGATGAAAGCTCTCAAATGCACAGAATTGATAATTTCACTGTTACTTAGTGAGGAGAAATAGAATAAATCAACTTCTCAGTCAAAACACCTTAATGATAGAAAGAAAACTCAAGTGTTATATTAATTCTTCAGAGATTTATGTATGCTCAGCAAACACAATTCCTGACTCTTTGCCAAGTTTCAGAGGGCAAACTTGACTAAGCACCTGTGTAAACTACAAATGAAAACAAACTGTAATGATAGTGAAGGTTTTGTAAACTACTTTACAATTTGATATTAGTATAGATTTGTAGTAAAAAGTCCATAGCTTGGGCCAATTGCTACAAAATCCTACCTCTAAGATATATTAATTTTATAATCTTGAATAAATTACTCATCCTCCTCTCTTTTCTTAACTACTTCATTTATAAAAGAGGAATAATAATAGACTATGCTCTACAGATCTGTGAAGATGAGTGAGGTAATTAAACCCTATCACATGTAAGAAATAGTAACTATAGATTAGCCATTCTTAGCTAATCTACTAAGATCTGAAAGTCGACAATAATCCATCCATGTTGAACAAATAGCTCAATATTTTCAAGAAAAGCTCATCCAGTATTGAAACAGAGTCATGATTCAGTATTGTGGAAATAATTATCGGTCTCTTTCATGAAGTTCTAAAGCAGGGATCCAGGATTTCACTCCAAATAATGCAGTCATGGGTTAAAACAAGGCCATAGTTTACAACTACAGTACAGCATATCTTTGTCATCAGGAACACTATTTAATGTTTGCCATGGAGGTACACGACTTGTCTTTAACTTAAAGACACTGCTCAGCTTCTCACGATGCCACATCTACCAAGTCATTAACAAAAAACTTTCTGATATACAACAGTTATTTCTTTCAAGGGAAATAAATAAAGTGCTCAAAGGAAATTGTATTGTAAAATTGGGGTAATGCCAGAAGCAAATGGGAACTACTCCCTAAATCCTTCAGTAATTTAAGTTCTGTTTCTAAAGAAAGCAATATAATAAGCTTAGACTAAAGTATTACCCTAATTTCTCATAAACCACTCATATACAGAACACATATAAAATAAATGATATTAACTTTGGAATATACTAACAAAAACAAATTGAGAAGATAGTAGGAGAGACTATTCATATTCTATTTCCTCTGTGAACTACGCATAATGAATATAATTTCCCA